TCATGGAGGACGCGTCCCCCGGCTCCCCGCCTACACCGGGCTTGGCCGGGCTGGCTTGGGAGTCCAGTCTCTGCAGGGGCCATGTGCACGATCTGGGCCGGCTCTGCGGCTCAAAGTCCGGGTCTATCTCCACGTTCCCGGCAGGGGACACCGGGGGGTCAGCTTCTGCCATGCTGCTTCCGAGAAAACAACAGAAATCCGCTTAGAAACGCCTGTACCGAGGAGAGATGTCACTGATCGCACATCGTACGGGGGCCCCCGGGGCTCTTAGACGGGCTCCATGTTCGGAGACGCGGTGTACGGAGATCGCTCTTTGTCCCACACTCGCAGGCTGTGTACACATCAATCCGATCCTTCCCGATCACATCAGAAACTTCACGTGCGATCGCGATCCCCCATCCGGGCTAGATCACACGCAGGACTCGCAGCAGGAAAGTAGAAGGGATCCGCATATCGGCAGCACCAGCCGTTGCCCACACAAGGGCAGATCTGACATGTGGATGTGTTGTCATGCACTAAGCACATAACCTCCTCGCTCCCGCTGCTGCTGCCATCTTGACAATTCCCCCACACCTCATTCAGGTCCCTCTCTCGATGCAATGGTGAAGATGCAGCAGACACGGCGCTGCCAATGAGGCTGCAGTGAGGAGAGGTGAGCATGCGACGCCTAGAGCTCCGCTTTCATGTCCGAGCACATCCAGGCTGATTTCCCTCCGCTGTCTCCTCAGGGCTAAAAGTACAGTGACAGCACACGGAGATGCCGCACACAGCGGGAACTTGTCACCCTGCACAGCGCCGTTGACTTCCACATTCCTCCTCTTGACAACCACTAGCAGATATAGTGTCACTAGTGAGAGGCACACGCAGGGAGCACACAACCTAACGGCACCCGGGACCGCCCACTGGGAGGAGCATGGGAGGAGGAGGGGGCGGGAAAAGCGCACTCCTTCACTGCTGCATTCCACCATCAGTACATTCAGGGCGCTCTGTGTGCCTCCCTCTGAACCGAAGCCAAAACGTTTTCTTTCATTTTGGAGTACAGCAGGGTTATAACCCCGTCAGCTTATTTTGCAGTCTGGGTCCCATTGGGGAGATTTCCTTTTACTTCCTGTCTACAAGCCACAAAAGGAAGTGGGATAAATTCTCCTCAGAGGGTTGCTTGCATGGCACAGCGGCCATTAAGCGAACTGCTAGTATTTTTATCCATGAATACTAGGTGCCCTTTGATTGGACAAGGCATGGTGATGATTTTTCTTCTCCTTTTACAATTACCGCAATAAAACTTTAGATTACCCTGAACTTTGGTGAAAATAGCAAACAATCAAGAGTGTATTCCTTAAGTGCAAGGGTGGGCAAACTCCTGCCCTCCAGCTGTGGTGGAACTACAAAGTCAATGGAGCATTGCAAGAGTCTCACAGCCACAGACATGACTCCCACAGACATGCATCATGGGATGTGTAGTTTCACCACAGCTAGCGGGCCAAAGTTTGGCTACCTCTGCTTTAAATGATTCTGTGGCCCTAACATTACACCACAGCCACAAGACAAATACATCATGGGATTTGTAGTTTAACCACCGCTAGAGGGCTGAAGTTTGCCTACCCCTGCTTTACACAATCTTTTGGCCCTGCCACTTATAATTAATATATACTTATATTGTGCCAAGCTGGACCAGTGTCAGTATATAGAAATCTTTGTAGCTTGAGTTTAGCTTTAAGGTCCTGGAAACCCAAATTACATCTCTAATTTAGGGTTTATTACACCACAGCCATGACTATCACAGACAGGTGCATCATGGGATTTGTAGTTTGACCACAGCTGGAGGGCCAGAGTTTGCCTACCCCTGCTTAAGTGGGAACACACAGAAATATAAACCTTAAGGTCTCGTTCACACCTAGGCGTATTGCATATGCGCGTCTGTCGCGCGTTCTTTTACCGCAATTCGCGGTAAAAAAAGTCGCGCGTTTCCGAAGGCTACTTGGCTTTATCCCAATGGAAACGCGCAACAAAACGGCCCAAAGTAGTACCTGTACCTTTTCAGGCGTGGGCCGTTTTGTAGCGCGTTAGGGACGGGCGGAAATACGCCAAGGTGGGAACGAGACCATTGAATACAATGGGATTTATATTTTTGAGCGTTTTGTAGAGCGTTCGTCAAGCGTAGAACGCGCTACAAAACGTTCAGGTGTGAACGAGGGCTAAAGGCATTTAACACAAACAGGAAAGAGTACCATTTAAGCTGACCATACTGTTAGCTTTGTTGTGATTCAGCCCTGCAGCCTGAACAAGTAAAAACTCTCAGTTGCCCCGTTCACACTAACAGCATGGATGAGGAAATCCCCCCCCCCCCAGTCACTGTACAGTTTAGATTTTTCAAAGCTGGTCTTTCAACAAAAGTTGGAGAATTTTGTCAGAAAAGTCAACCTGAATGATATAGTGAACTAATTTCCCTCTTAGCCCTCACACAAAACCGGCCACCATTTCAGTCAGTTTGAGAATATCCATATAAGACAACTGGAATCTGAATGTCTGTTTATCTATGTAAAGTATATATTCATATGACAGTGATTGACATGCATTACAAATATATCTAGCACATCCCCTGCAAGGCACTTTCCCATCGGGTGCTGTATTGGTAAACATCTCCAGACAAGCTCACAAGGAGGGTCTATTTTTATATTGTGAAGCAATGCTGCGGCTGGGTACAGCTAGTAGGGAGCACTATGTATTCTGAAAAGGTATGCAGCCTTGAGGTATGTGGGCAGGCCAGGACATATTCCCTTTTCCTGTACGGACATGCAGTGACATGTCTCAGACACACCATCAAGTCACAACACTTTCACGACTAGACAGGCAACCGAGAACAAAGTCATCTGTGTAGTTTACACCAGATACCAAAATACAGTTGTTTCATATGCGCTTTTTCTCGCCAGCAAGTTGAAAACAAAGGAACAGTCCTTTACCAACCGTGCACGAGTCAGTATACAGTATATGGTATAATATACCCCATAGGGGCGGCTCAATATCCATATGAAAGCACAAGGCCACAGGGTGCATTTAGAAAGGTAATTAGGATTCCTGAGCTATTCAATAATTTATTGAAAACAATTTGTTATTCCTTGTAATGCGCTAAGCTTCACACACAGAGTGACATACAATGACAGACATAGAACAGACTGACACACAAAGGCTAAAACTAATGGCCACTGACTGAGGCATTAAGACAGATTTGAACACTAAATGGTGTCATGGCAGACATCCCTGATAATGTTAACCCTGTTGTTGCTGTGTGCAGACTCCTATTTTGCAACTCGGTTGACTGAACTGATTTTGCTATTTTTCACACATTACAGGCTTTAGGGTCCTTTCACACAGGAGAGGATCCGTGCACTGTTTGCCTCCTGATCGGAGCAGTATGGATCAGATGTCACCGTTGTGACATCCGTGTCTGTCCCGTTTTTTCCTCTATCTGGCGATGGAGGAAAGAACTTAAACTGTTGGACCTCATGTTGGTCTATGGGGAGTCGGATGTAAACAGACATGTGTCTGATTACATTGCATTCCCCCATGCTGGCACACTCAGGTCTGGCGAAACGGGCGTTCCTTTTGTTTTTCCAGACCTGGCCGGAGTCAGGGTAACTGGGTATAAGCGGACGCCCGTCCTTTTAGATCCAGCTGCCCGTAGACTAGCATTGTGCTTCTGATCGGGTCCATCTAAAAAACAGACAGGCGGACCCGATCAGACCGCCCATGTGAAAGGATCCTTAAAATAGCTAAAGCCCACCAAGTTTTTTTAAAACTTTTTTAATGTTGTATATGCCTATTGTATAAACTACTTATCATTCACCATTCACTCTAATCTACCAGATAACTGGCCTATGTTCAGCTGTTTAGCTCTTCACTATCTGTTGGATACATTTCATTTTAACATAATAAGTCATAAAGAAACAAATGGCAGTCTGTTACCCGGCCTAAACTTTTTCTATAATAGGCTGCAGGCAATGTGACAATTACGTTGGCCATATATTGGTCGAAGATCATCTAAGTCCTGCTGAGCAGCCTGTGGCTCCTGCGAGACCTCACCAGTTCGACAAAATAATTTTTTTTAGTTCGCCTTTGTTGAAGGAGCAGGTCTAAAAATTCTCAATCGAACTGTAACTGCAACCAATCAGCTGCAGTCACCATTCAGTTATTCTGACAGAGGCACATCTGCTGCGGTCAGAATACAATAACCTGGCAGGGGGGATTTCACCATCCTTGATTTTTAGCATGGATGGGGGAATGTAGCGTTTTTGCTTTTTGTTCAGCCCAGAGCGAAAATGGAAAAAAATGTTCAGTGTATGGCCAGCCTTATGCATTCTCCATTTTCCACCTTGCTCTCCTCCTCCCTCCACTCCCACCTTCTCCTCCTATGTTGCTCCTACCACCGGCGTTATCTTTAGCAATGCACTCCTCTCCACTGTGTTACCTTCAATCCTGGCATTCTTCTTCTGCCTGTTTACTCTCCTACATAGTGTTTCTGTTCCCCATGCTCTGCAGTTCTTCTTCCCCAGGTTATCTTTATTTTCTTTTACCATTCTCCTCAATATACTCTCCTGCTCTGTTCCCATTTTTGGGGGCTGTATGCCTCACCGAGCACGGACTACACTGCACATCATTGATCCACAGGGACCATCAGGACTCCAGGAGGGTCAGTCTGGACCTCCTGGGATGTCTGGTTCCTCTTATAGCAGGTACCCCTCTTGAACTCCCATGGCAGGTACCCCTCTTGAACTCACACTCCTCCGTTAAGCAGGAGGTTTTTTTTATGTTTGGGTACTCTTAATCCCTTCATGGTTTTCACTACCCATCAGTCTTATTCCTGTCCCGAGAAATCTACAAGGTTGAGAAGAATCAGTTCCAACTGGTTCTGTAGCTAATATGTGTCTGTCCCATTAACATTCCCTAAAAGTTACCACTTTAAATAGTGGGCCTTACATACACGATATTGCCTTCTCCCGCCATGTCTATTGCAAATCACTTTTCTGGACTCTCACAGTCTGAGTCCTTCTGCTGGTCCTTACACCTGCAGACCTTATTTGGAGATGGCTTCACCAGGGTCTACAGCTGGCAATTTTGGTGCACCAATTGACACGGGGGTTGGCTTAGGCCTTTACTAAAGACATCCCCTTCCAGTGGACTTTTCCTCTCTTCCTTATAAAAGTTAACCAAAA